CCACAACCTCTTTCCCTTTGTGGCTCATTTTCTCCGAGGAATTCAGAAAGCTTTTACCAGAATTCTCTCTCTCAGCAAGACTCAATTTTGGGTTGTCACAGAGGTAGCTGAGAGTCAACTCTTGCAACCCTGAGGTGCCAACAACAACCTTGGTGGGTTTTGAGCGAAGAACCCCATCGCCACCAACACCCACCTCTGAATCTCTCAGAAATTCAACACCTTTCTCATCTGGGTACTCCTTTCCAGGCTCAAAATTTCGCCTTGAAAGCTTGCTCCTGGAATTCTCGCCATCAGAGTCGGCAACACGATCTTTAGTTCCAATCATGGCCGGAGGAAGGAGAGAAAGAGAGAGAAGGTTGAGAGGGGCAATTCAGAAAATAAAGGAAGAATCAAAGGGTTTATGTTCTATTTTCTGGACATTGGTTTGGGTTTTTTTCTATGCTATGCAAGTAACGGCCGGAATTTCATTTTTCTAAGTGTTCACACTGTGGAGGTAATAGAAAAACGGCGATGCTTTTCCGCGCATGTGAAATTACAGTCTTAACCCTCCGAAATGGTGAGAATTACTATGCAAGTGGACCTATTTGTTTTGACTGCAACTTTACTTTACTTTTCATGAATGCATCAAACAGCTCAGCTCAAGCCTCACACCTCTTCTTTTATCTTAACACATTTTTATAATTATTTTTTTATTACAAGTTATCTAGTAAGTAGTACTATCAGAATTTCAAAATGAAACTGTGCTGTCAAAGGAAAGCAAATGAAACAGTCGAACAGATATTACAATTTAACTCATTCAGTTTTTTAACACATTCTTATAATAATTTTTTATTATTATCACTTTATACTACTGTCTGTTTTTTCAAATGAAACATTCCAACAGATGTAATAATTTATTAAAAATACATAATCACAAGTTTATTCAATAAGAAGTAAAATATACAATTTCTCTCACATAGTTATTTCAGTTTATTTATTGATTTTTTTTAAAATATTAGGATGTATTAATTCTATTTATGATGTATAAATTTTACCTAAAGAGTGTACTGTATTTAGGAAATATTATTTTTTCTACTTTCAGCTATTTTTTCAGAGAAAAAAACTATTTGCAAAATAAACTAGTATATCCTTGGGGAGAGAAAAATTACTACAAACACATTCTCTTACATACTTTTTTTAACACATTTTTTTTAATTAGTTAAAATTTATTTTAAAAAGTATTAAAAAAATAGGTGAATCTCACATCCTATTTGATGTCTATTTAATGACCCTCTATCTCTCATGATTTTATGATTTTTAATAAATTTTATGAAGTTGAAAAATTGAAGCTTGTGATTATCTTTCAATAGTCTTTTTTAAGTAAATTTATTACATAAAAAATTATTTTTTTTTGTATTTAAACAAAATTAAACATCTTAAAATTAGTTTTCAACAAATTTATCCATTTTTTTATTATAATCACTTATATATAACAATAATTAATTATTGAAATAATATAATTTTTTCTACTTTCTCAAACATACTCTTATGCTTATCATTAAATTGTTATGGGAGGACCAACAAGTTGTTTAAGTGGTGTTCAACTTGATTTTCTTAAATAAGATTTTGAATTTGAATTTTATAAATGAAAAAAAAATGTAATTACGATGGAAGATCCCATTAAAAATAGCTAACTAAGCACCCCAATAAAGATTAGTTATCGACAAATTTGATTAATATTTTATACCAATAATATTGTTAAAAAAAATGACAAAATTGTCACATGAAATATGAAAATATTAATATTTTTAAAATTGAACCAGTCATAGAATCGATTTAAACACATATTCAAGATTTATTGGTTGAATAATATTTAAATAAATACTAATAAATTAATAATATGAAAATAATATTAAATAAATATAATATAGTTATTTTATAATACTAAAATTAAAATAAAATATTTTCTTAGCATTCAATATATATGTAAATGTCCAAATTAAATATAATATAATATTTAAGTTTAAGTTTTAATAATTTATAATAATGTCAAAAAAAAATTATATCTATAATAAAAAATGTCAAATTCATATAATATAAATTATAAAAACTGAGTATATAAAAATTACAATTTAATATAAATGATTAATTGTATTTTTAAAAAAAGTATTAAAAATAATTGATAAAATAATTTATTCTAATTTATAATTTTATTAAATGTGTATTATTTCATTAAAATATTTAAATTAAAATTTTAAAATAAAAATAGCTTTTTTAACAACACCGGTTGAAACTAGTTTTTATGTCACTTTTGGATCAGATTTAAATAAGTTTATACCGGTTCTAAACTAATTTGATTTTTGCTAGTTATCAGATCAATTACTAAATTAGTACTTGATCTAATCTGTCAATTCGATTGAATTTTTAAAATAATGAAAAAATGTTGCTTGATACCTAAATTTATACCCTAATATCAATAATAATGATGAATGGTAATTGAAACAGTTCAAGAGGTGAAAGATAAAAAAATATTTATTTTCTAATAAATTCTCTCACATTATTCAAAAATAAGAATCATGTATGTTTAAAATCTTTAATATGAATAAAAAATAAATATTTTATGAAAATTATAAAATATCTTATAAAAAAACTATCATTTTTCTTCTATATTATGTATTTCATAATAAGAAACATAGGGAGTATAAGTTATAATATCTATCTTGTATAAGTCTTTTTTTAGACTAATTTCAACTATAATGATATTAATTAATTATTTTTAAAGAGAATAATTTTAAAAAAATTTCTCAACCTCTTATATATATATATATATTTTTTTTTCGTCCCTGGAGTATCCATCGGCAGTAACTAATCTCCTCGCTACGTTGGAGGTACCTCTTATATATTTTAACTTATCTTTTTTATTTTTATTTTATATTGAATTTAATTTTTAAAAATATTAATATTCAAAACCTTGTATTATAATATAAATTATTAACATCACATCATCACAGCTTACGTGGTTTTACCCAGGTTATCATTTATGGTGTTATCTCTCTCTCTCTCTCTCTCTTTCTCTCTCTCTCTTTCTCTCTCTCCATACATACACACACATACATATTTCAAACTGAAATAAATGAGTCATATGTGTGATTGTTGTTTCAGTTACTTGCATTTCAAATTCTACATAAACTGTTTCCTTCGTTGAATTATGGGTCTTCTGAGATGCTACCTTTAGAGAAGAGGTGCTTTGTGGATTTGAAAACATACCTTGCAAGAAACTCTGATTGTGCGCGGTATTATTCTTATTTTTTGTTTCTCTTATTATATATCTATATTGTAAATCTTTATTTTCTGTAGATTTCCAATATTATGACATCTGTAAAACTGTTAAGTCATTTTTTAGTATGCTCTTCAAGTATATTATGTTTTATCCTTAATTTTCCACTTTGTTAGATCAAGTCAAGTTAAGAATGCAAGTAGGAATGATTATCTCAGTTATTGGGAGTTTTCTAATTTTAATTGTGTTTCCTAATTTTATTGCATGATTGGAGTTGGGTTGTGTTGCAATTTTCATACAAGACCTAACTACTAGTATAAAATAGGTGTAAACTCATTGCTTTGTACTGCTTTCTAATGGACTAAACTCATTAATTTACATTATCTTTCAGCTTACGAACATCAATGGAAGGATATCTTGATGCTTATGACCCAAATAGTTCTGTCACACCGGCTGGAATTTTCATCAATCGAGTTGAGGTGAGGGTTTGTGTTGGTGAGTATAACATGTATTTGGACAATTATACAAATGCTACCCTTATGCGTAGTGCTTGTCTTATGTACTTAGGAAATTGCATTTATATTTACTGCTCTTAAATGTAATTAATTCTGAAATGTATATACATATTGGAAATTCATCAAAGAGTCCTCAACTTGGTATCAGAATGGGCTCGATTTTGCTCTGCCTTTTCTCTATTTCGGTCACTTCTCTGCCACCGTTCACTGCTGTCATCAGATGTTGCCGAAATGAGATCATTGTGGAGGAGGAATGGAAACTGGAGTTGAAACATGATTTACTGAAAAGAATTCTCATTGGTGGGCAGTGTGTCCACTAGGTGTTCACCATAGTTATTGTATAGCACTAGGATAGATGAGTGGAGTGACCATGGTCTGCTATAAAAATTGCATAGTGGCTATCACAGCTGCAATCATGGCCAAAGTGGTGGCTATTTAAGGCATGCCTTCAACATATGTTCTTTTCTCTGTGCTAGAACCATGCATCATCTTAGGATATTCGCATATATGAGCTCTACTGTCCGTGGATTGATAACTATGGTATACAAGAGATGAGATAAATGAGAGACATGGTGAAATCCATGTGTGTGAATTGCATAGCTGTGAACTATTATTTATAATTAATTAATGAAATTAATATCTACAATGATTTATAGTTGTTGGTGTACAGTCTTGTAGACTCGAGTAGGGTCCCTGTTACTATCAGACAACTCTGTACTTACAGTTAGTATTTCACCACTCGTATCTAGCTCTCTATATAAAGGATCCCTATACAATTTACATAGATCTAATAAGTGATAATACAAACTTTCAGTTCTCCATTTTTCTCTGACTATTATGTCTAACATGGGACCAAAGAGCTACTAATTCCTAGAATGGCTACCAATCCGCCACAAACACCTTTTCCAAATTCACGAACATTAGTGAATCTTCCTGTGACTGTGCCAATGAATTTTCTTCCTATGACCTAACTTCTCATTCCTACTCCAATGTCAAGTATCATCTTAACAATCTTATTCTTGTTCCATCTATATCTAAAAATCTTGGTGTCAGTAAATTTTCCAGGGACAATAATGTCTACTTTGGGTCAAATTCCTCTTAATTTATTTTGCTTATAAAAAAAAATATCTTTAACCGATTTAAATTAATCATTTATTTTTTCCACTTAATTATTTTTTATCTAATTAATTAATATTTAAAATTATATATACTCTTATTAAAAAAAGTTGTATCTACTCATCTACTGATAATAACTTTCTTTTTTTTTTGAGAAAAATGATAATAACCAATAAGAGAAAAAAATTTCTCATTAAATTTTAGTGTCTATTATTTTTATCTATAAATATTATTTATTAATGCAATAGATGGTTAGAAAAATTGTTATAAAAAAGTTAAAATATAATTTTTTTGTCTATATAATTTTGAGTTTTTTCATTTTTTGTTCCTATAACTTTTTTTTAATCATTTTTGTAAAATTCAAACATTTTTATTTTTCATTTTTGCTATTAAAATTTGTTACAAAAATGTTAACCTCACGACATTACCACGTGCTATATTAATTAAAGATGACACCATCATATATTTAGTCAACATATAATGTCACATCATCATGAATCATGTGAACATTATATGACACATTAGTAATCATGTCATGTTAACAACATAGTAGAGAGACAAAAATGAAGGAAAAAGTTTTCAGAGATAAAAAATGAAAAAAAAAATGAACTTACAGGATGAAAACAAAAATCTTTCCTTCATTTTTTTCCTTATTCAATACTATAAGGTCACTTGCATATGCCATTACTCAAAATTTTCTCATTCACCCCACACTATCTCTTTTTTTTTATCTTAAGTTCTATAAAGTTATAAATATTTATTCTTTATATTGAATACTATTTTTAATTAATCATTAAAAAGCATATTAAAAAATGTGTTAGAAAGTATTGTTAATATTTAGTTTACATCAAATTAAATTACCTAGTGATGGAGAGTTTGAATAATATATATAAGATTTTAAGTTTGAACCTTAGTGTAATCATTATAATTTTAATGAATAAAAAAAGTTTACATCACATTATTATTCATTTATTTCTCCCATGATGTTCATTACACTAAATTGTTTTTTTAATCTTAAATACGTTTCTTTTATCTAAAAAATTAATATATATTAAACTTTATTCAATTTTAATGAATATAAAATCATTAATAATGGTGAGTAGTTATATATGAATTTTTCAAGAGTTATTATTATTATTATTATTATATTATCATCATTATTATTTTTACCATAATCATGCAAGTATTCTAATGGTTGGATGATGCCTAGGGATGTAAAAAAAAAAATTGTACTCTGTAGATAAAATTTGCAACTCATAGAAAATAAATATTGTAAATGGGTACTCACAGAAAGTATGAGTATTTTTTTTATACCTGCTTATTAACAAGGAAGGTATGGGTATCACAATATCTGTATTCGTAAATATATGTACCCGCTATTATTCAATTTATTTAAACTTGTATGAATTCAATTTTATTTGAACTTGTATATATTTGATTTTATTTGGACTTTGTCTAGACTTATAATAGTTAAGTATTGTACTTTATTATCTTTTTATTTTGATTTATGTGCAATTAAAATATTTTATTTTAACAATTATTGTTTGAATTTTAAACTTATATAATTGAAAGTTTAAAATTCAATTTTTAAATCTACTTATTATTATTAGTATAATTGTGAAGAATATTTGAATTTTAATTTTATAATCTTCAAACTTTTTTTATGTAGATTTTATTTAATTTTTAATTATAGTCTTCAAACTTTTTTCATGAAAATTTTTATAACTTTTAAAAGAAAAAAAAACTGTACCAAATAACTAAAATATATGATTAAAATGTTTTTTTTAATATTTTAAGATATGTTTTTAATAAATACTCACGAGTACCGAGTACTTGCTCAACAAATTTTCACACAGATATAAGGACAAGTATGAGTGGATTTATCCAACAAGAAGGGTAGCAGGGAGCTATTATATTCATACCCGTCCTGCCTCATTGACATATCTCTAATGACATCCTTGTTGTTCTAATGTCTACGATGAAAACACCTACAAAGACACCCTAACATTTAACTTAAAATTAGAGAGTTTATGTTAAGAATTATGTTGTTTTAGAATTATACTTGATGCCTCCTCTCTCTCTTTCTCTCTCTCTCTTTCTCTCTCTCTCTCTCTCTCTCTCTATATATATATATATATATATATATATATTGTAATTTAAGGAGATGATTCTATGCGGTAGTTATGAGGTATCCTCATGATTGTGTACAAGATTTATTGCATGTAGATATCGTTTCATATCGTTTATTGTGTTTCGGGCTTCTTGGGAGTGTGGTACTAATGTTGTCATCCGATTATTTAGCCTTGAGTTTGTCACAGGTTTGTGGTGAGTATTTTTTTCGAGCTCAACTCGATATGATCAAGCTAAATGGCTTAACTAGACTTGGTATGTATGAGTTGAGTAGTACAATTATTATTATTATTAATGGAATCGAGACATTTCATACCCCTATATTTGTATTTAATAAAAATATTTGAAAATTATAAATGTTTGTTACATTAATTGATATTGTGTTTGATTCTCAAATCTTAAAATTTTAAATTCAAATTGTAAGAGTAGTTAATTTTTAATATTATTTTTAATTATTTAAAAATTAAATAATAAAATCATTTAAGAATAACCAAATCAGGTTATCACATTATTATTATTATTATTATTATTATTATTATTATTATTTACAATTTCCTAAGTCACAAGCAACTAAACTTTTAATTATTAATGGGAGAATCATTTTAGCAATTTTAAAATTTCAAATTTTAGTAAATGATAATTTGTTTCAAATATTTATTTTGTTCAAACAATGTTTATTTCATTTTCTAATATCTTATACTCAATAATACAAAAAAGATTAAAGTTACTTGTAATAGTGGACATCAGTTGGGTATAGTTTTGTTTAGGATCAAAAAGCTCAAATCGTTGAAAATCAACGTTGAAGAATGTGACCTACCGTGGTTCATTAGACTTTCGAATTTTGCTGAATTTGATTTGAGTCGAGTTTGATGAGATAAGAGGATTATTTCAGGTTTAATTCTAAGTTCAATTTGTCATCTCCTTAAATTTGAAGCAGAAGATTTTCACAGTGAAATGAATTACCGTATATATGAAAATGCTAACAAGAGCCTTTTTGGTGGGAACGGTTTCTTTCGAATATAAAAATGTTGATAAATTATGTTAAATTAGTATTTTATTAACGAGTTTAATTTTTAAATTAGTTTTAATATATATATATAGATATACTTTATATTTATTTTTAAGATTGATTGCTTTATATTTATAATAAATGAAATTAAATTTATTGAAAAAATTATAAATGAGATTTTTATATCATATAATACTCTAAATATTTATGTATAAATTATTGATAAAACATTATTTTATGGGTTTGGTGTGATGAATTTGGGTCGATCTTTTTTGGCTCTTTAGTTAAATTATTTGAATATTTTGACTTGTTTCTATCTACATTTGTGCAAGGTTGAAAAATTTAGAAACAATTAGAATTTACTGATGTTTCAAATAAAACAAATTGATCATGAAAGAAGGATGATCATCCACAATGTCAACATAGTCGTGCATGCGTAAGTTAATGCTAATGTACTGAAAAGGAAGAAGTACGATCATTAAGCACGAATGTGTTAAAAATTCATGCCTCCACAATACAAGACGTATGATGATGATGCTACATCATACACAACCATATTAAAAGTTTCAAATCTTGCTTTACGAAGCATGGTCGTGCAACTTAGTCTATGCATGACTGTGTTGAATTTTAGATTAGAAAAGCATGCCCCTTGCAAGACAATGCTATAAGAGACATATATATGACCAACTTAAATTAATTAGCACGTCCTGTGTTGAGTTTAGGGCTACTTACGTTATAAATAGTGAAGGGGTGAAAGTAACGAGACATTTTCTGGATAAATTTTTTTTACACACTATGTAACTTTGGCTTCTGTAATAAAGATAGAACTCTATAACTTTGGAGGGTTACTAATTAGACACTTTGCAATGAGAAAGTGAAGAGCTACTTTGTACTTTTAAGTTTTTGTAATTGTTGATGGATTTTTCTAAAGTGTATCTTGTTTTCTTAATATATATGACTTGATCTCGTCTCATACAATTTTATATTTGGTCATTTTATACACGTATGATTCAACCTTATTCTAATATAATATCAATTAAGGACCTAAATGAGAGTCAACACTCAACTTTAATAGTCAATTTATCAAACAGATTTTTCAACAAATGGACTCATAGAACACGGCAATATCATATCCACACAATGAAATATTTATATTTTATAACAACACTTCTTCTTTAACCCTAAGTTAATCAACACAACTTAATATATATCTTGCCTTTAAGCATTCTCAACATAGTTACTTTCAACACTACACAATATATAACTTCACTATAGTTCAACTTTCATTAATCATCAACTTACAACTTTAAGCAACTTAAATATCAACAAACATCATGTGAGTAACTCAATTTACAAATCACTTGTTCAATACTCAGCCAAATAATCAACCATTTTTCACTCATCAACTCACGCCCAACATTATTCTTCTCGCGCTCGACGTCATTGAGGTAGAAAGCCTCTAACTTACATCATGCTTGATGTGAATGAGGTAGAGAACCCCTATGTTAATCACGCCTGATGTGACTAAACTCACACTCAACCTCATTCAGGCAGAGAACCTCTACTTGACTCACATTCGACATCATAACATTGGTGCTTGTCGCAACCCGAAAATTTCCGATCTTGCGACCTATGAATGATGCATATTTATAGTGCTCCATATAGATAATTCTTCATGGAGATAGTGCCTTATATTATATACAAGTGAGATAGGTGCCTTTTGGATTTTCTGATAAAAGGAAGAACTTCTATTTTAAGGGAACTTAAAAAGAGATAGGGCAGTAAGGTAAACTCCTATAACAAAGCAATGAAACTAACCAAAGGTAAAGCACATGATTGCAATTATAAAAGCTGATTATGGAATACGAATAATAATGGTGCATGAATTAGGAATAATGAGATATATTCATCTTCCCAATACATTATGATTTGTAGAAAAAGAAATGAATAATGGCTACTGGAAAATGTAAAAGAAATTAGCAGTTGTTCTTGTACCTGTCAAGGGACCAGGTTTGCTTGATCTACAAATCAGCTATATATCATTAGTATTAAGAACCGCTATAGGCTTTCCACCACTTTCCGTGATCTAAAATTGACAACACTGGATTGTAGTGAGCTAACCATCTCAAAAGAGTAAGTTGTTAGGTGAAGTCACATAAATGGTTTTATAGTACATCTCTAACGCACCCTTATGCAAGAGCTCTTTGGGCTTGAAGCATGAATAATGCACAAGCCCACCTAACTTGTGCTGAAATTCAACTTTTTGTTAGAAGAATGGAGGTGCCAAGAATTGAACTCTAAACCACATCCCAAAAGCTTAAGTTGTTAAATGAAGACAACCAAATGGTTTCATATTATATCTGTAACAGTGATGTTTCTGGATAAGATATTTTCTTTCCCTGTTCTTAGTTTTGTTGCATTAATTGTGTAAAGTAATTTACATTTGACTTAATTGTATTTTTAGCCTTTCAAGAATTATAATTGTGCAATTTTGATTCCTCACGTTCCTATAGGATCTTTCATGTTTTCTCCCATTTACAATTAGGACCCTCCATCGTGATTCCATCCAATATTTCAACAAAATTAGCTAACAAGACAATCTGGGCATGAATGACAGTGACTAAATACAGGGTATCAACTAAAAAACACAATATTTAAAGTAAAGTGACCTAAAATGGTGCTATGAATTGTTGTGTTGATGATTCTTATGGATAAATTATTAATGATAGCAATGAACAAATGCCTTTTATATTTGAGCAAACCAATGGCGTAAAATTGAATGAAATCAGGATGGAGGGACTTGATTGAAAATGGGAGGAATCTTGAGGGACTCAATTGGTGCAATGAAAGACCAAAATTACACATTCGTTATACACAAGGGACCCTAAAAATGCAATCAAGCCTTTATACCTTTTTTCCTTTCTTTTCTATGTTGTACTCGCTTATTGAAACAAGTTCAAATACATATAATAGTATCTTGGAGTTGCTGTCTTGACAAAATGCTTTTCAAAAGGATGTTCTGTATTTAAGGTTTATCATAATTAGCTACTAAAGGATACAACACATTGCTAAATCAATCTGTTCTCTAGAACAAATTCCATAGCAATTGTCTATAGTGTATGTTAAGAAAAGCAAGGAAAAAATGTTGTTCCTATATTAATATGAGGCATTGAGGCTAACATTGATATTCATGTCCATATTTTCTTAGTTTAATCTTTTAATTATTAAATTTTTGGTTTGTTTAGCGTTCGAGTGGCAAATCAGTTGAATTGACTTCAGAAACCGGAACACTGGTATGCTTTTCAGTTTATGATTAATAAAACATTTGTAAGTTTCAAATGCATGACTCTTTTCTAAGATTTTCAAATGCATAACCCAGAAGTTGTTGATATCCTAATTGTCTTTATGAACTGACTCGATTGTTTTTTGATTGTGCAGTTTGTTTTCTTCACTGGTGGAATTGTGTTTTTAACACTTATAGTAAATGGTTCAACCACACAATTCATTTTACACTACCTTGGCATGGATAAATTATCAGCAGCTAAGGTCAGGGTTCTCCTGATCTTCTTTGTTCAACTTATGTTGTTATGATAGATGAAGTATTTTAATATCTCATACTTTAAGTGATGGCCTAATGTCTTCATGTTTTATCTTCATTATCGCTCTCTCTTTTTAATCTAGGAAAATACAAAGAATATCTCATATCCAGATAATTCACTTTGTATGTAACAATAGCACTAATATGTATTTGAAATTGTAGTTTCAATAATGTACGAAGTATAAATAGAAAGAGCAACTAAAAGAATTTAGTGAGCCAAGAAGGCTTAAAAAAAAAAGCAATCTGTCAAGTTTCTTTGCAAGAAAATATGATCTCCTAATGGGTTTGTAGTATCTAGGCTTCATAGCTGCTATGTAACCATTTGGGCTTTATATAAATTTATATGCAAATAAGTATAGATCGCGAGAAACATAGGGAAGCTTCTACATTGTATAAATGCTTGTAATTTGAGTCCAAATGAAAATCTCTCAATATAACCTGTTTCTCTTCATTCTGACTTATATCTAGTCTGGCCCCTTGTTTTGCTCATGTAGAGACGTATCCTCGACTTCACAAAGTATGAAATGTTGAACAAGGCATTGGAGGCTTTTGGGGAACTTGGAGATGATGAGGAACTTGGGCCTGTTGACTGGCCCACAGTGAAGAGATATATCTCCTGCTTAAATGACATTGAAGGTGAACGTGTTCACCCTCATGGTGCACTTGAAAGTGATAGTAACCTAGATCCTATGAACTTGAAAGACATAAGAGTACGCCATCTGAATGGTATGAGAACTTCTACATTTGTTTCAGTCCTTAGAGTTGTTTAACTTTATAGTATTTCACTATTTGTGTCAATTTTTTAAATTTTGACAGCAGGAGGAGCCTCATCTAGGAAAGGCATTTAATCATTTAGACACTATTGCATCTTTAAGGACAATATATTTTTTGATATTATGCTTGAAGCTTGATTCTTGGATGTTTTTATATTTAGTTGAAGCTTTTATATAATCAGTTATTCACAATTTTATTTAAGAATTTGATCTGAAACTTTTTCAGTTTAAAGTTACTATATTGTGCTTTCTATTAACTTTTCAGCTGAGCATCTCGTTTCCTTTTATACTTTCAGTTTTGTAGCATGTAATGTACTGTTGTAATGAAGGGTAGGGTTAGTGCTTGATCAACATTCTTGGACTTTTTTCCATCAGAAAAGAGCTTTGAGTTAATTTTCAGGGAGTGTATTGAATTGAGATTTTAAAAGATTATTTTTGCATATAGTCAATCTTGTGGGTTTGGTTTTTGTGAGAATAATATTATGAGAATTTGGTTTTTAACCAAGCACAATGGCAGTATTGGATCCATATAGTTGACCTTACCTAGTGGCATAAGACTATTGTTGTATTTGTTATGATATAATAACACTAAGAATTATTCACAACACACACATGTGTGATTGCTTTAGTTAACGTATATTAAATTGGTAATAATTTTTTGACATGTGCATACACAGATGCATGCATTCTAAATTAACTTAGTCATGTGGTAGTCTCTTGTTGGTTAAGCCTTTTGATGAGCCTAGTTCCTATTTGCTACTATGAATTTGATTGGTTCAATCATATGAGTATCATGCCTGATTTTAGAACTTATTGTTCATATTAGGTGTACAAGCTGCTTATTGGGAGATGCTTGATGAGGGAAGAATTTCTCAAACAACAGCTAATATCCTTATGCTTTCCGTAGAGGAAGCAATAGATTTGGCTTCATCTGAGCCTCTATGTGACTGGAGAGGTTTAAAAGCTAACGTTCATTTCCCGAATTACTACAAGTTTCTCCAGTCCAGTATATTCCCACCGAAGTTAATCACATACTTCACTGTGGAAAGGTTGGAATCTGCATGTTATATTTGTGCTGCATTTCTTCGAGCTCACAGAATTGCTCGACAACAATTACATGACTTCATAGGTACAAGTCTATCAATAAGGGAATCAGTCAATATTATTGTATTCTAATTATATGTTGCATGTATTAGGCATGGGAATCGGGCAGGGAATTCATTGATAATGAATATGTATTCAAATGTACTGGATACTTTATATTTTATGCATATCAGTGTTTCAGTGCTTCCTAGCTCATACTTTGTCAAATTTGTTTAAATTTATGCTATATGTCCAATTTTATGTCCTCATATAGCATTATTTTCTTCTTCTCGACTTGTTTCTTACTTTCTTAAATATTGTATGGTCAGATAACATGTTTTTAATTGTATTTAGGATCATTTATATTTATTTCCTCTTCATATACTTCTGTAGGTGACAGTGATGTTGCTTCTGCTGTCATCAATGAAAGTGTTGTAGAAGGAGAAGAAGCACGTAAGTTCCTAGAAGATGTTAATTTAACATACCCACAGGTTTGCTAGTTAATCATGGCCTCCAATGTTTTCAATTTTTGTTTTAATGGACTCTACTTGGATTAAGCCTGTCAGTGTCAAATTGATTGGTCTTTAATCTGTTAATCGATTTTCTGTGCATCAATTTTCTGGTTATGTTGTTAAAATATGTTCTTTTTGTTGATTTTTTTTTTATATTATATTATGGATGTCAAATTCTCAGGTTTTGCGTGTTGTAAAAACAAGGCAAGCAACATATGCAGTGCTAAATCATTTAATTGAATATGTTCAAAACCTTGAGAAGGCTGGGATATTGGAAGAGAAAGAGATGCTACAACTCCATGATGCTGTCCAGGTATCTTGTGATATTCATTTTCTCTCTATCTATTATCTGTTTGTTTAGTCTTCGGTGAATTATAGTTGTGTGTTCATCTATTAATTGATCCATTCATTTTTCAGACTGATTTAAAGAAATTACTTAGAAATCCTCCCTTGGTTAAGCTTCCTAAAATAAGTAATATACATCCTATGTTGGGTGCTCTCCCATCTTCAGTTAGTGAATCACTTTCAACCTCTACCAAGGAAACGATGAAATTGCGTGGTTTGACACTTTACAAGGAAGGTGCCAAGTCTAATGGTATTTGGTTAATTTCTAATGGAGTGGTGAAGGTATTAAATTCTCTCAGTATGAAGCTCAACATATTTCTGATTGTAGACAAAATGCATCTTTTGAAAATTGCTGTTTTTTTCCAGTGGAAAAGCAAGATGGTTAGCACCAAGCACTCCTTTTATCCTACTTTTACGCATGGGAGCACATTGGGTCTTTATGAAGTGCTGACTGGAAGACCATATATCTGTGATGTCATCACAGATTCCGTGATATTCTGCATTTTTCTTGAAGCTGAAAAGATAAGATCATGTCTCAAATCAGATCCTTCAACGGAAAAATTCCTATGGGAGGTATGGTTACATTAATTGTAATACCCTAATTTTTTGAGATATAAAAACAAAACTCATGTGATAAATGCAAGTTGTAGAAATTGGGAATCGTATTAATCAGCGCAAAGACTAGGACTCGTGTAGAAGGAGTTATGAGCGTGAGCTACCTACTGAGATAGGTGCCTTTTGGATTTTCTGATAAAAGGAAGAACTTCTATTTTAAGGGAACTTAAAAAGAGATAGGGCAGTAAGGTAAACTCCTATAACAAAGCAATGAAACTAACCAAAGGTAGATGTCATCCAAGAAGAGAGTTATTGCCTTGATCACACCTAACGCTACTCAACTAGGGCATGATGTTAACAAGTTAGAGAGTTCTCTTCTAACACACCCGACACTACCAATCTCATGTCCGACGTTAGTGAGACAGAGAGTCTCTAACTTGCATCACCTCCAATGCCATGAAGTTGCGCTCGACGCGATGGTGAATTTTACACTTGACAGATTCACATTTTAACTCAACCCACTTTACTCTCAAAAGACTATCAACATGCAACTAATAAAAACATATATACACTTCACAAGCACTTTAATTGCAAACAGAAAAATAACATAAACCAATATTTGACTAGAAATCATCAAGTTTCACCTCAACATGTTCAAGAACAACAAAAACCTACAACATAGAAGTTCTCTCAAATAATCATCAACACAACCCTAATTTTTAATGATTTCAATTAATATACAACTCAAACAATTCATCATGAGATCAAATATAGCTTCCCTTACCCGAAAATCAATCAAAAAAGAGGAAGAAAAAAGAAGACCAAGACTTTCTAAGGAACTCTACATCACTCTCTTAAGGTCTCTAATTCTCAACCTTTCAAGTCTTGAATCTCTACATAACTCCTACAACTGAGCTTTGGGAAAGATCTAAGCATTCTCTAGAAGACTAAGAAGAAGAATGGAGAATTCTAACTCCATAACTCCTCCCTCTAACTTCTCTACAAGTTTTCTAAAAACATGAACTTATGAAATCCATCTCTTAAAAAAGATCTTTTATAGCTTATCCTAACTATTTAATCTTGACCTCAACTCAAATCAACTCCTAAACAACAAAAATTCATTAAAATTCCTAAATTCTTAGAGTTTCATAATAAACAATTAGTCACAACATCAATTTAATTAATAAAATCATCAATTATTAACAAAACGCATAATGTTTGAATATTGTTAGTCTCAATTGAATAAAAATAATAATAGTATATTTTTTAAAAATTAAATTAATTTTTTAATAATAGTCAAATCAAATCAATTAAACAAAAATAAAAGAAAAAATAATTTAACCCGGTATGATTGATAGACTTATAAAAAAAGTGTTATAAAAACTAAAAAGTAATAGAAACTCTCTTTAATGAAATGTATGAATTAAGAATGACAAAAAAAATTCATATCTATAAATAATATTATAAATTTTAAATAGATAACTAAATAGTTACTTGCTTGATAAAGGGACAAAGACTGATATTCAGGTACTGTCGTACGTATTGGTATTTACACTTTAAAAATATTAAAAATAATTTTAATATATAAAATAATTTAATTTAATGTATTTTTTATATTAAACATATGTGTCATAATTATTTATTTTAAGTATAAATATACATTACAAAATTATTTTCAATATAAATAAATATTTTTAAATTATATTTTTTTATTATTTTATTTAAAATTTAACATTTTAATAAATTCTCATATATACTTGTAAATAGTCACATATATAAAAATTTATAGAGAGCCGCGCTGAACAAAATAGATGACCTCACTCCGTTACATTGACAACCCTAGTATGGATAACTACTCAAAAAAGAGAAGAAAAAAAAACTATTTTTATTTAATGCACGAGATTATTGTAGATGGCATGGTCACAACTCAGAACTCAGAACTCAGAACTCAGAAATGAAGGGAAAGTGGAACGTTGCTTCCTTTCGGTTTCAGTTTCAAAGTCAAATAATAAGACAATTAATTCTTCATAAATACTATGTGACATGACCACTCATTTAAGATACTACAAACAAAAAGTCAATCTTCTCAAACTCAAAATCTTTCTCTCTTTATTTCTTTCACTGAACCTTAAACCCTAAACACTTTTCTTCCAATTTTTGTACCGTATACAGAGGTCAATTTCGAAAGAGGATTTTTTTTATATAATTATTTTCAGCATAAAGAGGCTACTTAAACTTTTCTCTTCCAATTTCTACATTGAATAGCAAGATTATGTATACTCTATATAATTTTTTAATTAAAATGAATTTAAATATGTGTTACGTATTAATAATAAATGTTTTATTTTAAACAAGAATAAAATTAATTACTCATTGTCGGTCATAGGATTTGGTAAGATTCAAATTTATAATGATATGGTGAAGATTTAAAACGCACACAAGAAAAAGTGCAATTAAATCAAATTAAACTAATTAATTAGGAATTAAATATTGTCAGTAGCAAGTCAAGTTGTTTTAAAGGATTATATTTAGTTTATTTGATGGTGGGGTTACATTGAAAATATATTCCTTATATTAGTAAGAAAAAAATTAATTTTATATATATTATGAAAATTAGTTATTTATATTAAATTTGATTAATTTTATAATATATATTTTAAAATTATTCTTATTATAAATGTCAAAAGAAGTAATATAAATAAAAAATCATGTATTAAAGGAGAAATATTTTTTTAAGAGTATCAATATATAAGATAAAAGTAGTTGAAATTTGTTTATATTTAAGAACAAAAAATGTATGTATTTTTTTGCTTATAATGGGAAATATAGGGATTAAATGAGAGATATTTTTAGGATAATATTATTAAATGAGGTAAAAGTAGTTGAAATTTACTTAAATTTAAGAATAAAAACTGTATGTACTTTTTTTTGTTTATAATAGATAATAAATAGAGTATATAATTAAACCTTTTTAATTAATTAGGAAAAAGAAATGAAAATTAAATAAACTAAAAATGAATTAATAGGTTTTGTGAACATTTTCATTTCCCTCAAACTCAAATGCATGTTCGTTAAAGATCTTGTGATACTAATCTTTGTCATCAAATTAAACTAAGATATTTTCATTAGTTGTTTCAAATGAATTATATACAATGTTCATTAAGCATTTTGTTAGACGATTTTTAACTAGCGACTTATCTATTCAATGACTTTGGCACCAAACATTCCCCAAACAAATATTGTACTTTCAGGTCGAGTAAATTCAATAAAAGACGCCTATTGGCATTCTAACCTTCTTTCTCTTTTCAGGGCCTACTATTGTTGGATTTTTGTGGCATAATTAGTTTGAGTTTCATTCAAAACTTTACTTGCATAAATACCACATGAAAAATATTTTCCTTCTTTTGCCCCAATACTGCTCCTACAACATAATTACTAGTGTCACATATAAGCTTAAAATCATATTGCCAGTTAGGAGTAGTGATCATAGGTGTAGAAATGAGCTTTTGTTTCAATGTCTCAAAAGCAAATAAGCAAGCTACATGAATTGGGTTAAGGTATCTTCCAATTTGGTTGTTCTATTAGAGGATCCTACATCTTATTTCTAGCCATAGCCTTGATTGTTGTTGTTATTCCTCCATCCTTGCATATAATTGTTAGAAAAATTATTAAAACTACCTCTCCTTTGTTGATTGCCTATGTAGTTTACTTCCCTCTCCTGATAATTGTTAGGTCTTGAACAAAAACCATTAGGATGGTCTCCACCACATAAATCATATTTAAGAACTTGTTGTTACTAAGGAGCTGAGCTAATAGATTGAAGTTGTTGAGGAAGTTTTACCATATGGTTTGTTAGAGCTTTAATTTGTTGGGAGAGTAACTTGTGTTGTGCTAAGATTGCATCATTTGTGTTTAGATCAAGAACACCCTTCATTGGATGACCATGTCTACTATGCTATATGCCTAATGATCATAAAAGGCAAGAGATTCAATAATTTTAGTGGCCTCATCAAGATTAACTATCATCATGGTACCTTTTGCAACTGCATCAAGGAGCATCTTGAAATCTGGCTTTATTCCATTACAAAAGAAGTTCAGTTGAGTAATATCCTCGAAGCTATGATTTTGAACATTTCCTCATAAGAGATTTAAATTGCTTCCAGGCTTCATAAAAGGCTTCATCCATTCCTTGGCAGAAGGTAGAAATCTCTAATTTAACATTTATATATTTTGAGGATAGGTAAAATATATTCACAAACCTGTTTTCCACATCACTCCAACCGGTAGGACCTTGATTAGGATGGGACTATGACTATGACTAAGTCTTGACCTTACCTGTCAAAGATAAAGGAAATAAACTACTTCCTTATCACTTTTGAGATTCCCATAGTACCACACAGGTCATAGAAGTTTGATAGATGTGCATATGGATCCACATGGTCCATCCCTGAAAATCGATGTGCACTAACTAAGTTGAGGATGACAGGTTTCATTTCCATTGCTTTTGAGGTAGTCGGAGCTACTATACTAGAGAAATGTCTAGGGCCTTCCTGTTGAGTAATCCCCTAAGGTTCTTTGATTTCCTTGATTGGCATGGTTTCCTAGTATTCTAGTATGCCTAAATAGTCCCACATTACTTAGAAATCAAGGCTAAGGGTTGTTTATAAACATCTTTCCTCCTTAACCCACTAAGGTGCCTTTTCAAGGACAAGATTATGATGGTCCAATGAGCGTCAAAGCGGACAATATCTTAGATGCAATGACTCTAATGATGATAGTAGACTTATGGTTAGAACATTGGCACTAGAAGGAGGACCTAGGCCACTCTTGTCCCTTAGCCTCGACTAGAGAGCTTGTTCCGATATGCTTAAAAAGTCATACATCACTTATGAATTGAGGCTAAGGATAGTTTATAAATACCCTCCCTCCTTAACTCACAAAGACACCATTTCAAGGACAAAATCGTGACAGACTAACGAGCGCAAAAACGGACAATATCTCAGATGTGGTAACCCTTATGATGACAACAAACTTACGGTTGGAACACCTAGATTTCCATGTTGCTTCCTTTGTTTCTCCAATTCTTTTCTTCTTGTATTGTTGTTGTTTCTCCTAACTGTTTTCTTTATTTTAGGATCAAAGAGTAACTGCTCAGCCGAAGTTTTACCTCGCATACAAGATAAAACTAAATAGAGATTAAGATAGAAAGAAATAAGAATACTAAATCTAATGACTAGAAAATATACAACTTAAAATACAAACAAGCTTTAAATAAGGATAAACTAAAATTACTAAATATCTTCAACAAGTCCCTGACAATGGTGCCAAGAGACTTGTTGGATTTTTGTGGCAAACAGATCAAGTCTACCATAATATAAGTTTGAAGTACTGGTTGTTAATCCACAAGGACTTGAAAAATATTTTGTAATTTCAAATATTATAATTAAAAATTGTAAAATAAATATTTATAGTTGAGTATGAACATAGTTTTGCATTTAAATATTGAATTAATAAGTAAACTAATAATAAAAAGCAAGTGTAAATTTGAAAGATAATAGCAAGAGGCACTGTTGGGACTAAATTTCACTCATTTTATTCATTTTCTCTCCTAAGTTATCTATATATGATTTCTATCACTTAATGTTATTAAGTTCTTTAAGATCATTCTAAATCAATTCCTCGTCTTTAGAAATTCTAAGGATCCTAATTTAATAATTGATTCCTTAGTTTATCAAATCAGAGTCCTTACAATAAGTTCAAGAATTCGTTCAACTAAAGACTTTAAATCTATTCCTAGTCTTTAGAATCATTAGGTGATTTGATTGAAAATAGATTTAGAAATGTTTTTCAACTAAAATCTAAATCACAAAGCAAAAGGTGAGTGATCAATTTACCTCAGGCATTAAGAATGAAATCAAATCACTAGCACTAAATAATAAACATCACATATATAAATCAAAAGAATTACATAAGAGTTTGATAAATTATATTCAATCCCAATAAAGGAGAAGATTAGCTACTCATGGTAGTGGGAGCAATCTCCATGTACAAAAAAGAAAGCATAGAAGGAAAAGATAAACCCAAAATCCCTATCCTTGGATGACTCTTGAAGTTTTCTCCTCTTCAGTTGTGCATTATCTCCTTTGTCCTATTCTATTTGATGATGTGAATTTTCTCTCTCCTCACTCCTTATATAGGTCCAAGAAATAAATTAGAGTAAGCTTGTAAGTGACCAATTCGCTCGACCATTTTCAAATGATTAAGTAGATTTTTGAATTCTTCAAGATAGAAAAAACTCCATCAGTTGAGCTAAATCTAATCCTCTAAGCCTTTCTAGATCAAAATTTTATTGCCTCTTTGGACCAAATTTGCTCGGCCATTTGAAAAGGGTTGACCCAATTTTTTTTTTCTACAACCAACTTTACTTTTTGTCTCTAATCTACTGAGCGCTTTCAAATCGACTAAGTGAATTTAAGAAATTTTGAGGTTTTAGAACTTCATCAAATTTGTATAAAAACAAAGACTCATAAGTCAAAAATTCGCCAGTTCTTCATAACTAACTTTATCATTATGTATATTAAAAAATATTTATTAGAAGATATAACTTCTCAAATAAATCTGAATACTTTAAAATGTTAGTTCCTAATTTTTCATTAGAATACCTTGATTTAATTTTTTTTCATTTTATCTAATTATATAATTTATTTATTGTTATGCATTTAATTTTGATTAACTAACAAAATAAATATTTTTGATTAATGTACTGGCTAATTTGACCAAGCCATAAAAAAACACATAGCGTGATGGACACGTATATTCAAATCCAATAGCCTCACCCAAGACCCAGTTGACCAGTTCCAGGTCCAGTTCTCCGCAGGACCAAGTCTACATTAATATCTATGGCACCTATGCATACAGGATATACCCCATCTATGTTATATTCTCTTTTATTTTAGATTTTTTTTTCCTATTACGGTATGTTTAAGAAAACAAATGGTAAGTATTAACGTATTATTGGGTTAAAATTTTAATTTTATACTTTAATTTTATAATTATTCAAAATACAAATTTATATTAATTATTTTGAGAACAAAAGTGACGTGTTTTCAAATTCAAAACAGTACAAAGTTGTTTGAGGGCCTAAAGTTGAATTTTAAAAATTCTAAAGGGATAAAAGCATATATCACCTTTTTAATAAATAGGAAGAGAATTAAAATAACCCCTTGTTTTGTTAACAATAGAAGAATGAAAAAATAATTAAGGTATTTTACTATTATATATTTACAAATATAAATGAAATTATTAAACTCAAATATTTAAGTTAAATATTGTTTAATTATCGTGATATTAAAACTTTAATTTCCTTTATCCTATAAATATATGTAATATTGAAGGTAGTCAAAATCTTTAAAGTGACTAAAGGAGGTAAAAATAAGAACAGAAGGATTTTGACTTCCTCTCTAAATATTTGAACCAAATAAGTTATTCATTTATTTTGTGAATCCCTTTTCTTCTCATTCCTTGTTTTCTAGGGTTGTCGTTTTTGCTTTTTTGTTTTAATAAAATATGTTTATTTAAATGTATGTTTCAAAAATGTAAACGTTATTTAAATTTTTTAATATAAAAACTAAAATAATTAATTTTAGTACTTTATACAAACTAAAATGACAAACCACTTTTTATGAAAGAAAAAACCCAAACAAAAATTGTATGGTGAAATCACTTTTTATAAGTTTAAATAACAAACCACCCTTGACATCTTTGTTTACTCCAGTTCATAAACCACACGTACGTGTTCCATTGTATCTTTGTAATATTTTTCTAGGTTACCATGTTATTGGTGCAAATAGGCTCTTTCTGTTGGAAAACTAACCATTCACCTTTAATGAAAATCTATTTGGATAAATGACCTGTTGGTATTGCATCATTAAACCTCGAAGAGTCCATTGGAACATGATGAGAATCTTGAAACTCAAGGACATGGCTTTGAAGGAAAAATAGTATTTTCCGAGCAAAGATCTTGCCAAGCGTTCATGAAGTAAGGTCTAACTAAAGAACTTAATCAGAAAAAACATTGTAAGTTGGTTTCTTATGAATTTTTTTATTATCAACATGATGCTTAAGATGCTCACATTCATTTGGCATGGATTTCACGACAACTTCACCCCGAAGAAACAAGTACAATAATAGCATGTAACATATAACACGTAAAGTCAACTAGGGCGGCGAAAAAAATATATTCGTAGTTATAAAGTTCACGATTCTTAATTAAGCATAAGCCAACAAATACATTGCATGAACATTTCATTGATGATTAAATTATGCCTGCTAGGAAAATTTTAAAACTTAATTCCTTAAATCTAGTTTCCGAATCTAGCATTTATACATCTTACTCGATTCCCAGATTCCTTATTAGGAGTTTAAAAAGCTACTACCTCTTGTCTTTTTATAAGAAACAATTGATTGGTTACATTTTACTTAATACTATCACTTGTTTGTTGATTTGGTTATAAAAAGTTTATATTAAGACACGATATGAATGTATGAAAGGTTAATCAACTATCAATCTCTTTGAAGATTCTCCATAGAATTATAGATTATCTATTTTATCTTTAGTATAAGTCTGTATAGAAAAATATAGAATATAAAAGAAATTGAATTCAATTTCAAGTCTTAAATAACAAGATATAAAATATAAAAAAAATTGAATTCAATTTCAAGTCTTAACTAACAAGAGTCAAGAAGTTAACTATTGCTGTATCAGCCTTACAAGACTACTATCCTTTGTTTTTTTATAAAAAGGTTGTAGCATTTTTTTAAGATTTTATTCTTCTTTCTTCCTGATGTTACGTGACAAACTAGAGAATGTTCTTTACATAATCTTCTAGCTTTTAACGAGGTGGATTGAGAAACTAATCCTAACTTGGTCATGTGATAATTTAACCATAATCATAGGAATTTCCATTAAGATTCGAACACCCCTGCATGCAAAATCCATCCATAATTGCCAATTGAATCATAGTCATACCCTATGTTTATCAACCAGTGCTTCACAAACACATTTTAGATATAAAACATTTTAGTCCATTATCCTGGATGCAATATCATATCAATAATAAAATAAAATACAAATGAGAGGAAACCATTAATAATGTGAGATTAAAGTAAGCTAAAATCGCCATTGGAAATACACATCTCACTGTACAATGCACCCCCTATTAATTAATAATTTCATGCTGAAGAGAAATAAATGAAAGACTAAAAAATCTCGAGAGAAGTGATACATACACACGAGATACAAAACTCTGATAAACCCCTCACAATAAAAATGAGTGGTTGAGAAATTTCGCAGAATGTAAAGCAATGGATGAGTGATCACTTCTTAGCCACTTATTTATTACTTTGTGAGGCCTTTAATTTGCTTGTGTATGTATGCATCATTCATAAGTCTTAAAGCTTCAATGTGAGATCCGGAGATGCAGAAGCTTGTGGTGGAGGAGGCACCATAGGAACTAAACTAGCATTTGAACTTTGAGCATGTGCTACATTAACACTACCACCTTGGTCCACCTGTCTGAAACTTCCAGGCCAAAAGAATCCAACATCATCATCTTCCATGAAAACTAGTGATCCAAAGTGGTTTTTCTCAAATTTTGCAGCAGCTCTCATATCAGGGGCCCTCAGCGAGGGTGACACGTGTCTTCGGTGCATTGCAGAATGAGCTTCAAGGCCAAGAGACCTAAAAGGTGAACCATGAAGAGGTAGAGAGGCCAAGCTTGTATACCTCTCAGTGAACATCCCCATTCTCATTGCCCGCTTAGCCATTGTCCTCTCCCTTTTATGAGCATTTTGGTGACCCCCTAAGGCTTGTGAGCTATAGAACTTCCTCCTGCAGTAGTTACAAGAGAAAACTCTAGGAGTTGCCGATGCTGAAGCAGGAGCTTCAGCTCCTACTTCACTGCTAGCATCACTTGAACCTTTCAACTCACAATCATTGGAATTGAAGTTGAGTGTCAAGTCAAGGGTAATGGAACCTGGATCAGGTTCATCCTTTGTAAGGCAAGAGGAAGTGGTGGTGCTGCCCTTTGTAAGATCATGTGATGCTTCATGCAAGGATACATTGGAAGCCACTTGGCTGCTGCCTTCTGAATGGTTTTCAGGTTCCAAGTTCAAGTTTGGAGTCATCATGTTTGTATGTACTGCTAAGAGTTAGCTTCTTTCCCGGAAGGCAATTGGATGGAACTAATGTGTCACTCTGGTCAGCTTACCATGATATCATCACCTACATTTTGATGAAATACATTATTCACTATATAAAGATGAGGATTTTGTTTGACTATGTAAATTCAAAATTCTGACATTGACATGAGGTTGGCAATAAAATGCAAGCAAAGTAGAGCAAACCATGGGACCCATTGTGTTTATCCAGCAAGTGAGTAAAAAATATACACCAGTCTTGTATCAATAAAAAAAAAAAATGCCATTGCAGAAACATAAAAAGATATTAGGATTCCCATGTTACTGATGATAATTATGTGGAGCATTCCTTCTACCAGACAAAGGAAATCAGATAAATTTGTATATGTTTGCATCATAAACATAATGTGAGTCACCAGCCATGTTAATGATGTTATTCAGTGCTTCTAACATAGAGAATACAGAGAAAGAGTTATCATAGCTCAAATCTTGAGCAAAACTGCAAAAGCAACAATTTGCATATGAAATTCATCCAGATGCTGGTTCATTGTATGAGGCATGAGCATCTTGAAGAAATGTTTTACTTTGAAAAGAAACACAACAATTCACATGTAACAGTTTCATTCACAGTAGTGCTTCTTTGAACAATTATAGAAATTTTCACGTAGTCCATTTGAATCCCCAAAACTTTGGTTAATGTAGAATTTCACTCTCAGAGAATTTCAGGTAGACAAGCCTAAGTAGGTTTCTTCATCATGAATCAATTATCTAATTTATTTTATCATTTGAATGGTAGTTCAGGTAAACAGCAAACTTATAGCAGAAAAGAATAAAGGCTTGTTTTCCCGTGAGGATATAACAATATGACAAAGGCGAGTGGCAAGTAAATATAGAAAAATAATAGGATATAAGAAAAAGGAGAAGAGATGTAATAACATATATGGATGTTATAGAAACAAACATTGATTAATGAAGGTTAAAAGAGAAGATAGGAAAGAATAAACCAAAAGAAGTCTTATCAAGGATCACAAGCATGAAGCATACACAAGCTTATATTTCTTATAGCTGACATGAACAATCTGTGATAGATTGTCTCTTATTTACTAACCAGTTCTTAATAAATTAAAGTTGGGCTTGGGCCATTACTTCTGTTGAAGAAAGTCAAAAGATGGAAGTATATTACATGTGATACTTAAATAATATGCCATGCATGTCATCACATTTTTTTATATATTATTATTATTATTATTATTATTATTATTATTATTATCCTTTTACTGTGTAGAGCTCTTGTCATGAAGCTTTCTCCACATGGTAGAATATTGAAGATTAAATAACTGCCTTGGGTCACTGCAAACTGCAGAATATAACTGAAATTTCTTCGGACTTTCTCATGGTTTTTTCTAAAAAGAGATCATGATGGCGAGGGAGATATATTAATTGATACTTGTACCCGAGTACATATAACTTTTTACCCTAATAAAATTTTTGTTATCTATAGTGAAAGAAATAAACTAGCCGATGTATTGCAGTACTAGATTTACTCACATGTATTTTAGTTTCATTTTTTCTAACCTGATAACCTCAGACACCTCAGGTGATGATTAGTTCCATTTCAAGATTTTCTTCCAAATTGAATCTGCCTTCTATATTAATCCTCTCTATTTCATGATTTTTATCCATTCTACCTTTATAATACCTCACCTTACACAAAAAATTTCCCAGTCCCAACACTAAAAAAAACAGTGATGATATTTAAACACCTTCACATATCATACACTATCCACACCTATCTTTCTCTACCTTTTTATTTATTTTTTGTATTTTCGTATCACATCATATTACCTATCATACTTATTCTTCTCCTTTCTCTTTTTAGGTGTTAGATGTTGGGGTGTCCATTCTTAATTTTCCAAAAATTGAGAGAAGAAAGTAAGGATACATATATTTCATAAAAAGTAGCTGTCCAAGGAAACTTCTGGTCACAGGAACCTATACAGTAAATAAAGATACACTTGGCAGACAAATATGATTGCTTATTGTTACAGACCCTATTTTACAGAAAGATTTCAAGAATTATGATATGAATTGTCACCTTACCCACATACTATTCTACTACCAATCACCATTAGTTGGTTGAACACCCACTAACACAAGGAACTCACCAATTATCAGCCACTTATGCTGTAGTTAATTGCTTACTAGCCAATTATTATGGATGGTGGTTAATTTTTCATGGAAAATCAATGTGGAAAGACTTTCCCCTGAACTTATTTTTGGAAAAATAACTTTGATAATCTTCAACCAGCATGAACACTAGTTAACTGCTCAAGGACGATCTACAATTATGTTTTGGGTAAACAATAGTATATTTACCCAAAACAGAAAATGACATTTAAACTATCACATTAGAGTAATCTATCTGGTCAATGAATTAGAAACTGTTACGACAAACAAAATTTGGCCCTTCCCCTAAAGAAACAGGGTCCTTAAATGAACCCAGGTATTATTAATTAAAAAATGATTTTTGACCCAACAACCTATTCAACACCTACGAAAAAAAAAAAGAGATATAGACATAATAGGTGATATGATTAGATAGAAAGAGAGAGAAAAAAATGATGAGTGTTGAAGAAGTGTTTGACATTAAAGGTGTCTACATATCATTGTTCTAATTAATTGATGCATGCATGACAAGGCAATTTAAAAAAGTTTTCAGATGAGTGTGTTCTGATACAAGATAAGACTTAAATGCAAAATGTACCTTATGGTCCTTATCACATAATAATACTTAAACGAGTTTTATAATGTTATGCATTTCATGTCCTTTCTTCTACTGGCCCGTCTATTGATGTTGAATACAATTTTCGTTATTTTTAAGTACGTGAATAGAACAATCTTGTGGGTTATTTAGTTGGTCTAGAACAATAGATTCATGTTTTAGCCCCTTGTTGCTAAGCAGAAACCAAGGTGCCTCTATGATGCACTAGGTTACGCAAAAGCATAAAAGTAGCATTTCGTATTGTCGGTTGTTGTGAACTAAAACTATTCTGTTCTTCATCAAGAGTAAATTGCGGATTTGTCCTTCTCAAATCACGAGTCTTAAAGTAGAGATTTTATAGACATAAACCCTTTATTTGCTGGCAAAAGCAGATGATATTTTCAAATATAGTGAGAAGAAAAGGTTCATGTCAGGAAGTTTCCAGGAGATGCTCCAAGATAAAATTAAGATTGCAAAAGTGTATTATTTAAATGAGATAGATTAACAGAACTCTCAAAAGGAGTTATACATCTCCATAAATTTGAGAAATCTAACTCTATCAAGGTTCCATATCAGTAAATTATCTCCAGATATTAACCAATTAATTCCAACATGTCTCATCAATTGACATGATGATATACTGTCACTAAAAAGCATTTCCTATGGAGGACTAACTAACCACCCAAAAACAGTTCCAAAACATGAAACCAAACAGGTAATTGGAAGATTTAAAACAATCAAAAGCTAAAAAGAGGTAATTATAGTCTAGAAGAGAAAAGAAGACGAAGAACAGTGGGAATTAAGAGTTCCAAAAATCACTAAACAATACAATAAAAAGAAAAGAGATTTTATTAACATCAAATCAGAGGCTTCCCTTTGATCCTTACAAAGTAGATCTAACTTCTGATACTCAACTTGTTGGCACAATCCTTTTCTTTTCCTAGTAAACTGGCAATACTATAATTACCCTTCACAAAACCGGTTTCAGATTATCACAAAAACGAAACCCTCAAAATTAACACAAAAGTTTTTCTTCCAAGCTAAATTGGAGCTTCATGAAACTCCAAAACGCCATAAAAGTAAGAGCAAGCAGCACAATAATTAAAGAAAAAAGTGAAGAACAAAAAAGCAGGAGAAGAATGGGTTAAATGCATGGAGGAATTAGAAGAAAGTGCATAGCCAAAAACAAGTCTTTAAGTAATGAGATAAGTGAAAAAGAGGGACTTACATATAACAGACTGTAGTACAAGTGCGATAAAACTGCAGACTCCTCCACTCATATGGTGCTATTGCTAATTTGCTAGCTACCTACTTGAGGCCATGAAGAGTATCAGCACCAACCAACAACAGAGGGTACCATGTTTTTTAGCATCAAGCAGTGTAAAGGGGTGAGTGAATAATTAAAAGGAGATAAGATCACACAGAGAGAGAGAGAGAGAGAGAGAGATGGAGGAAAGTCAGATAACATGAAGACATGAACCACGTCTTTTGTCGAATTTGAGGTTCTATTTAGCTTTAGCTGATAAGGGCTAATTATCAGTTAGTGTGAAGTGTGAACGTGTCTGTTTCTATGTCTGTGTGTCTGTGAAATGTTAAAAATGACCAAACAGCATAGACAAGAAAAGCAATCACTACTTTACCTGCCAAGACCCACCAGCTATAGCTACTCAAGCAGACGCATGCTGCTTCACAAAACTAATAAAATCAATCGCCATGTTTTATCTCCACAAATTCTCATCATGGTCCCACTTCACTGTAAAGTCTCAACTAGAGCATAAATATTATTATGTATATAATAGAATAGAAATTCCTTCCACTACAAAAAATAAGTGGTCCCTCCTCTTCAATATTTAACCTTAGCTTTATGTCTTTAGGTCACATAATTTTTCTATTATTATGAGTATGAACTATAGAGGATATTTTTCTTTACCATTTATTGACCCAGCCACCTTTGTCATATTCATATGGACTCCCATAACTTCCCCATCTTTTCCAACCTGCGTAATGCATGTTCCTCTCTTTGTCTTTCCTTTTCTTTTTTTCATTTTTGTTTTTTTTAATCTTCACATACATCATCCATATAATTTTTCAAAATTAACAATTAAAAATTAATATGTTAGTAAAATGTGAATTTTCTGATAGAATATTATTTTAATTAAACTTTAAAACACCGGATTGAACTCACCGTTAAAATATTATTATTAGTATCGTTTTTTTTTCTTTATAAAACTATAATTCGTTCGAGTAAAATAAGGCACATAGTTTTTCCTTATAGTGGAAACTCCAAAAGACATGTGGACGTACGACTTTAGAAAAATTTAATGATAAGGATTCATTCGTTCAGAAATCATATGTTTAAGCATTTTTGTTTATTTTTATTTGTATTGAGTTTGTTTTTAGCCTTAATGAAGCATTATTGTATTTTGTTCCCTCTTTTGCCCCATATCGGACAGAATACGCACTATTTGAGAGGCAATTTTCGAAGTGATGATATGTGTTACAGTATAATATTAATAATTGGATATTTGATTTGTTTGTGCTTAAAAAAAAAAAGATTCTTAAAAATTAATATATCAGTATAAGTTCATTTGTGTTTGATAGCTATAATTATAAAAATCACTTTTTTATAATTCTTTTTAAACTTATTTGGATATGGCAATTTAAAAGTGTTTTTTCTTTATTACAAAATTGCAATAAAGGACCTTAAATTTAGAAATTTAAAGTAACATGTTTGTTGAAAATGAGTAAATGGCCATATAAAGTGATATGTTTGTTTAAAAAAAAGTAACTTTTGTATATATTAACAAATTAAAATAGATAACAATAAAAATACCTAATTCTAATTAAACATTTTATTTAACATAATAGTATTTAATGTCATAATTATTTTTAATAAATTAATTCATAAATAATTAAATAGATTAATTGAAAATGATTATATTAAATATTTATATATTAAAAAATCTCTTAATTAAATACTTTTAAAAAATAAACGATTGCATTTTAACTCCTCGCATGCTCATCTCACATTTAGAGAACCACTCTATAGTTAGTAAACTTTTGTCTCATAAAAATATTGAATTGGCGTAAATTTTGTGGTGCGTGACAATTTTGTTTCTCTCATTTGGATTCTCTCTCTCTCTCTTTAATATTTTGTGTTTTTAATTATCTAATTTATCTCTATATTGAGACTGGCTTCAGCTTTGTGCATGTATAGTGATAATTTTGTCTCTTTTACTTAAATCTAATTTTTCTTTCTTCTATTACATGTGATTATTTGGAAAAGAACAAATAACTTCTCAAAGTAGGGAGATTTTTTTTCTTTACTAATTTTGATTATGAAATTTTTTTTACCTAAATGCTTTAATTTTTATTTATTGTAAACGTATATATATTAAAAAACATTTTCATATATTAAATACTTATATTAAAAAATATTTAATGTAAACATTTACTACATCAAGAGACACTTTCTTAAAAACAAATTATGAAGACAAATGAAGCAAGTCATGAGGGAGAAACTCAAGAACTTGTAATAGTCATCTTCACCAAAGTTATATAAAAGGAAGCTTGAAGTTAAAAAAGAAATGGAGATCGATCATTGTAAAAAAATATATTATTTCTTTTTGTAAAAGTCTGTGCTTAATTTTTTGTAACACGTCTTAATAGGAAAACAAAACAACTTTATAAATTTTAGTAACTATAAGATATTGGGTTTGAGTCTGAAGAGGCTTATATGTAAAAGAATATTTGTTGTTTGAGCTTGGGGACGTGATGAAGATTTTCACAATCTCAACACTTAGCAAGTGAACCAAGTTTCGAAGTAGTATTCAAATATCGTTCTCAGGAATTTGAGTGTTTAGTAATTCTTGCTCTAATGATTTAAATGAGAACGTTGTTATAATTGCAAATGAGTGAAGATAGAGTAAAACAATACAATAAAATAAAAGTAGTAAAGACAATGATTAAGAAACAAGGATTGGTTCAGAGTACTTGTTAACTCGTAGATCTTCTTAAAATAAATGCGATTCCAATTTCATTATTTCCACGTTCATTAAGTAATCCAACAAGATTCCTCAAGGTTGAATCCTAAAGTCGTTAAGCTCAAAACATGATTCCTCTATGTTTTTAGTTTAACACTTCGCATTAAGACAATGACTTGAACAATGTGACTAACCAAATCAAGTCTATTCCTAGAATAAGAAATGATTAGGTGCAAGATTCAGTTCGGGTTTTCGAAAACGTTTTCCAACTAGATTCAAAAACCAAATATTCATACAACGGGTGATCAAGCCGATATAAGCATTAAGAGAAGAATCAAACACAAATAATGAGATTAAAATGCATATATTTAAGAAGAAGAAGAGTCAGTAGTTACATTCAACCAATCCTAATGAGTTTAGCCACACATGGCCATTACAGGATCAAAGAGTGAAAAGAAGAGATTACAAAGTAAAGGATGAAGAAATGGAGTTGATCTTCGTTCCCAAAGGATTCAGCTTCCAAATCTTTGTTCTCCCTTCGTTCTTCCTTCTTCACGTCCCTCAATCTATTTCTCTCTCTGTATATTCGTGATACCCTGTTTCTTTCCTTTTTTCTTTTTCTTTTATATGAGCTTCAAAACAGGGCCAAAAAGTGACTTTTACTCCTACGGCTGCAGCTGTAGATCAACGGCTATGGTTGTGGAGAGTCCTTCAGGGTGAAGAAACCTCCAAAGTTGTAGTTGTGGTTTCACAGTTATAGCTGTGGCAACTCCTTCAAGCTTAAGGAACCTCCAGCGCTGTAGTTGTGAAGCCACAACTATGGTTGTGGATCTCTGGAGTTTTTGCTGGGTCCTGGGTGCTTCCATGGCTTTAGCTGTGAGTCCACACCTTTAGCTTCAACTCTCTGGAGCTTTAAATTGCATTTCAGATTTCCACAGCTATAGTTGCAGATCCACAGCTATAGCTCCAACTTTCTGGATTTCTAATTCCTTCCCAAACTTCCACAGCTCGAGCTCCAGATCCACAGCTATGGCTGTGGATCTCTGCCTTGCCAAAAATCCTGCACAAAATAAGGAAATTCCTTAAGATTTTGCTACTAATCCTCTATTCTTATAGTATAACTTGATTCTTTAAATTAAGGGATAAAATAACATATATAATATCTACAATTACCAAAAAGAGTACCAAAAGTTGAGTGCAAATCATGCCTAAAATACACTCAACAGGACGATTAACTGTAAAATAATACTCAATGTTAAAACCTAGAGAGGTTTTGTGTGAAAAGAATATTTGGGTAAATTACTTGAAGATGCAATTTAAAGAATACTTGGGTTGAGTTAAAAGCAGCATGGTAAATAATATTTGTATCTTTGACAAGATAATGAAACTTAATTAGGTTAAATCAAGAATTGGACATAGTATTGGTGATTGAAACAAACTAGTATAAATCCTTGAGTTCATTCTTTACTTTGTTTGCTCTCTTATATATGTCACAATAACTACTTCACTACATTACAAAAAGGTAGGAGTTTTTTTAGTAACACTATTCAATACTCTTTTCTAGCATTCTTCTTTTCTCCACAATAGTTTTGTTTGTTTTATTTAGAATCACCTTTTTTCTTCTACATTTTGTGTTTTAGTTATGATATCTACAACACTGTGATTTTTTTAATTAATTTAATTGATCTTGTGATTTGTTATTTAATTGTTATGAAACCCTAAGGATTTAGGGATCCTAATGAGTTTTTGTTGTTTAAGAGTTGTTCTGAGCTGAGGTCAAGTTGATCAGTTAGGGGAGAATATATAAGATTTTTCTTAAAAAATAGACTTCATAAGTTTATTTCTTAAGAACTTGGAGAGAAATAGTCTAGAGAGAAGAACTTTAGAGCTTATAACACTCATTTTCTCCTACTAACTTCCTTGAGTGTCTAGGTCCTTCCCTTAATCGTAATTGAGTTGTGGAGTTGAGATTCAAAGCCTCTAGAGTTGAGAATCGGAGACTGCAAAGTGGTTCCTTGTGGAGTTCCTAGAATGTCTCGATCTTCTTCCTTCTTCCTTTTTTCTAATTGATTCGGAGGTAAAGGAAGCTCTTAGATGTTCTTTGTTGAATTGTTGCTTGATTAATACATCATTGTGGTTGTGTTGTTATTGATTTAAGAAGTGGGTTTTTGTTCTTGGAGTTTTTGGTATTTAGAAGAAGAATTAGTGCATTTGACTTATGTATTGGTTATATGTTGTTTTTGTTGATGAAAATGGATATTGGCAGTGGTGTATAAATGTTATTTGGTTCATTACATGTTAGAAATCTTCTAATATTTAGGTAGATTGAGTCAAAATGAGATTTTGCCAAGGTAAAAATCATCTTCTTGTTGTGCACAACTTCATGACATTAGGCGTGATGCAAGTTAGAGGCTCTTTGTCTCACTAATGTCGAACACGAGATTAATAACATCGATCATGACTTAGAAGTGAGCTCTCTAACTTGGTCATGTTGGGCATGAGTTGAGGGGCACTAGGCGTGAAAATTCTTAGAGCTCTCTAACTTGGTCATGTTGAGCCTTAGTTGAGTGGCGTTAAGCGTGATTAAGGCAACAACTCTCTACCTGAACGAGGTTAGGTGCCAATATGGTGACGTTGAACATGGGTCAAGTAGAGGCTCTTTGTCTAAATGAGGTTGGACGTGGGTTTAACCATGTTAGGTGTGATTGACACATTGTTGAGATTTCCGTTGAAACACTTTTGTTAATATTTGTAAATTCGTTTAATTCTATCAACGGTCTCAAACACGGCAAGTATACCGGCCGTTCAAGTAGTAAAAATATCGTATCCACAGGGATTAGAAGGTAATATAAGCATTTATTGACTATTCGTGACTAAAGAATAATTCCAATTTCATAGTTTGTGCAGTGAATGCAAAGTTGTGACTATTGGAATGAAAGCTGTAAATAAATATTGTTTTGTGAGTGGAAAAGGTCAGGAATGGTATTGTGGTATTGTGAGGTTGTGGGGGTCAGATTTCACCAAACGTAACACTAATGTATCCTTAATCTCTTGTTGAATTCATTGCTTAGTCAACCCATAAGTTTACTCAAACCTAATCCCTTAGAG